TATTCTGCACTGTGCTCCTTTAAACAGCTCTGGTTTACCTCTCCCATAGCCAACAGCATGACATCACACTTGCAGAAGACTGCAGGCCTTTTAACACAAAATATCCTTGGAAGTTCTTTACCAGTATTCTTACTGGATCCTGGGGTGCTTTTACACATCTCCCTTCACCTGTCCCTAATTCAGGAAAGGGCTGGAGAACTACACCTCACTCCTCATGGTCCAGAGACAAGCCCCAGGTGGTGGCACAGCTGAGTACTTGTACTGTGTCCTGTGGACTCATTGCTCACTGAGCTTGTTGCTTCCCTCAAGGATCAAGGTAGTGCCTGGGGCAAGACAGAGAAGGATAACTCTAGTTGTCCTGTTTTGCTAGTGAAGGGTCCTGTCACAGGACCTTTGCTAGCTTAGTTTTATCAAGAATATGTCAAAAATCTGAACAGATGTTATTTTTGGTGTGCATCAGTCAAAACAGCCAGCCCAAGCACTGTCCCTTCTCTGGTACCATTCCCTTCCAGGCCAAGAACTGTCACTGCCTCCTCATGCCATGTTTACTGGATCAAGCTTTCCAGGTCTTGAGCCTCTCCAACTGCCTGCTACCCTTGTACCACAGTCTCCAGCTGCCCACCTCAAGCTGCCTCAATTTGCACCAGAGGAGGTTTAGGTTGGACATTAGGAAAAATGTCTTCCCCAGAAGGTTTGTCCAGGGCTGTGCCAGGCTGCCCAGGGCAGTGGTGGAGTCCCCATCCCTGGAGGGGTTTCCAAGCTGTGGAGACGTGGTGCTGAGGGACACGGGTCAGTGGGGACCTGACAGTGCTGGGGGAATGGACTTGATCTTAAAAGCCTTTGCCAGCCCAAAGGATTCCATCTGCAGAAACATCAGCCTGGCCCAGGGCAGGACACACCTTCTGGCCATCGGCGTACACGGCGTAACCGGTGACTCGAACTCCATTGGAAGAGCCCTCGGCATCGATGGTGACTGGTAACCAGCTGATCACCAGGATACCTGGCGAGGGACCAGCTTCCACCTGGACGTCCAGAGGAGCATCAGGTGTGCCTGTGAGAGACCAACAGATTTTCCTCTTGCTTACCTGACTACAGCATAAAGCTAACCCAAACTCTGGTTAGAACCAAAGAGAAAACTCCCACGCCAGACTTGCCACTGCACAACTGTACTAGGATAGCCAAGCTAGTCTTGGGCAATGATACACAGACCCAGAGAAAACAAGGTGCTCTTGTTCTCTGAAAGCTTTAATGCACAGAAAACAGAACTTTGCAAAAGTAGCTGAGGCCAAGATGCAGCGACCCTTAGAGCAAGGTCATGGCAAACCAGATCTTCCATGCCCCAAGAGGCATGCTGCTCAAACCAGCAAAAAGGGAGGTCTTCCCAGAGCAAACGAAAACAAAAGAGATAAAACATTTTTTAAAATAAAAGCAGAAAAACATTAAGACAAAACAGTACAGCATCTCAAAGCTTTGGGACCTAACAAACCCTGCTTCCCTTCTCCCCAAGGCTCGGTGGCAAAGCGAGGCCAGAGCACGCTGCTCCAAGCCCTCCATGCGATGGGCACGACTGCTCTGATACCTGCCAGCGGGGTGGAGAAGTGTATCTCAGCTGAGTTCTGCTCCTGCCCCTCTGGGACCTCCTCCCAAGGCGTTCTCAAGGGCCGGGCCTCCAGCTTGGCAACGTACCGAGAGCTGGGCTGCAGGTTGTGGAAGCTGTACCAGTAGACCCCAGGTTTTGTTATGTCACACTCCACCCCATTGAGATAAACCGCGTGGCTGTAATTGCTGTTGGAGGGCAGCCACGTCACCTCTGCTGACGTGGCAGTGACGTTCCTGACCTTCAGCATGGTGGGGGCTATCCCCAGCTCTTGGCCCACCACCAAGGTGCAGCGCAGCTTGTCGGAGCCGCCCCGCTCGGTCAGGGCCTGCACGGCCACGCGGTACGTCTGGCTCTTCACATCCAGCCTCTCGATCACTGCCTTGCTCTGGAGGCCGCTCTTCACGTTCTGACGTAACTCGTCGTCCACGTAGATGTTGTAGCTTTGGATGTCTGGGCAGCCAGCTGGCAAAAGAGGTGGTTCCCAGCCTACAACTATGCTTCTGGCAAGCTGCTTGATCAAAGTCAGTTTTCTCGGGTAAGGCACTGCTGTATGACTAACGGGCTCCTCCTGGTCTCCTTCTGCTCTACTGGCCAATGGACTGATGCTACTCTCTTCAATGGAGAAATCACTCTTATCTCCACTGCTGGTGCTCGCACTGACAAAACTTTTCTCCTGGTATGAACTATGGGTGAGATCATTCAGCTCCGAAGGCAGAAACGTCATGAGGTCATCATCTGAAACTCGCTCAACAAAATTGGAGGGGACCAGCCCTCGCCGGCCATCCATCAGCTCCCCTAAACAAAAAACAGGAGACCTGTTACCACTGCACCTACCGTCCAGCCTTCCACCCGTCTGAGAAGACAATGTGACAGCACCTACCCTAGGCTCTAACCGCACTGCGGTCAAGAATGACAAAAACCCCTCTGGGGGGTTGCTCCTGGCAAACTGCCCTGCATGTCCTAGTGCCATCCTAATGGTCATAGTGAGAAGACCTACTGCTCCACACACTCCAGAGCCAACTTAGCTACAAAGTTCTTTTGTGTAATTAGCTTAACAGTTTTTCCTTCTTCATGATCCTACTGCTCCTCACCACTGCTCTTTCACTAACTTCAGTGTTTTTTTCTAGCCTTCCCAAACTACGCAGATTGATGATTTTACATCTTCTCCCAGCCATAGAGGTTTGGGGGTTGCAGTATTTCCTCAAGAAAGTCCATCTTTCCAGCTCTGTATTCAGCTCTCGCCTTCTTTTTAGCTCCCTCCTTTGTTACACTAGCTTCTGTAACAAAGATGTCCCAAAAGGACCCACGGGGACAACTGATACCACAACACTCTTGGTACGTGCAAGGACCATCAGATCACAGTCAGATGAGCAGTGTGGAGGGACTGTACTTACTTTCCCCTTTCAAATTCTACCTACAGCAAATCAATTGAAAGCAGGGAAAGCAGAAAATGTTAGTAAAGAATAACCTTTTTATTCTTTAAACAATAAACAAACAAACAAATAAATACATGAGAAGCTTAGAAATAGAAAGAAAGAGGCAGAACACTCAAAGAGCAAGCAGTGCAACACGGCATGCATTTGCCTCAGCTCTTGCAAAGCACCTCAGTAAATTAGGATCCTTCATCCCATTAAGCCAGCTCCAAAAAGAAATTTAATCACAAATGTACAGTCCACAATTCTCGGTTTCAATTCCACCTGCCTATTAGTCAACCAGGATCATGTTTTCAAAGGTGCCAAGAGAAACACATGGTATGACACCAAACACGATAACAACTGTAATTTAGACTACTTGTCTTACACCCTACCCTGCCAAAAGAGCAAGAGGTAATTGAGACCATCAGCAGCCTACAGTGCTTGGCTCACTGTGCAGTCACAGGAAAGAGGGAACAGACCATCTCCAGAAGGAGCCCAGGGCTGAACATGTTCCTCTCCACGGCTAGGGAGGAACCCTATAGGGATAAAACCTGGAACCCCTGCTGAAAGCAGTGGCAAAACTGACTGAAATCACTAAACCAGGATTTCCTGGTTTAAGCTTAACATAATCATGACATAAATAAACCCTTATTTTAGAACAGAAAAAGAGTTCTTGCTTCTAACAAACTAACTTTGGGCAGAAAGCCTTTATCTTGAGGTTTCAAGGTTCACCCAATTTCACTTTTTTTTTTTAAGAGCTCAATCTGCACAGCAGTTCAGTCACATTTCACTCCACTAAAACACACCTTCAAAGAAGCCATCTTCATCCATGTCTCCATAGATGTAAATATATTCTCCTGCAGTCAGTGGAAGCTCTGCCTCTGGATTTTCATTAGGTCCATCAAAAGGGTTATAGCTGAAATATTTACAATAGGAAGACTTGCTTTGTACAGGAACTTTCACAGCAACATATTCAAGCCATGAAGTGAGATCAGCTTACAATTCTCTGTGACTGCATCCAGTGTTTGCAAGCAGCAAATTCCACAGACAAATGTTAAGACTCTAGTTTAAAAATTTTATATGTGGCTAATAACATGTTGCTCCATGCTCAAATAGCAGCTAGGAATAATTTTCTGAGTAGCAAAACAGATATCCTGTAATGTCTGAAGGAACAGACTGAGTGACTCTAGAAAGCATTTAAGAAAAGGTTTGAAATACCCAAGTGCCTGCTGTGTTTGAGTGTTCCAGGCAGGTAAGCTGCAGGATTCTGCATTTCTAAATCAGACATCCTTAAATACATCTACACCCTTAACTATTTTATGTTGACAGCTTTCGACATTTCATTCATTTATTAATTTTGCCCCCCAAAAATATCAAAAATGCTCCAAACTTCTAAGATACACTTCACTTGCCCTATGATTGTCATGGACAAGCACAGCACAGAATCTCAAAAGTCCCATGTTTAAAACCCTAAGAATGAGCTGATCTGTGCAAGATGTTACATCAGTGGAAAAAAAAGGGGGAGTTCTAGCACTTTCCTTTGTAATCATCCAGCCCTCAGGATGCCAACTATAAACTCCCAGTGCTGTACCTCCACATTTTAAACCCTAGTCCAAAAGCTTCACTAGCATGAAAATAATACATGCATTTGGGATAAGATTTGGACTCCAGGCAGCTCTAACTTGCCTACCCAGGGATCCCTGAGGGCCTGTATTACAGTAAAATGCCTCATGAAAAAGTGTTATCTTTGCAAGCACCTACTGCCAATTCCTGCTCTTTAGTCTTTAAAAAGGATTTCAACATGCCAAAGCAATGTCAACCTCTCTACAAGCCAAGAGAGACCTCACAGGCCCAAGACTGACAGGAAGACACAGATCACATTTGATCTTCTTCTCACAAGCACAGAATCACCCCAGTGTAAAAGCTGAAGGATATGTTAATAGTCTTTGAACTGTAAATAGTGATTTGGGTTTGACCATGATGGCTCCGTGCACAGCAACAGTTATCAGAAAAATCTGGGTTTATTCTGGGCATTTTTTGGCCCATTTAAAATTACAGACAGAAAGGTTTTGGCCAAAACCTTCAAGAATTCTGGGCTGAAAGTTTCTTAATTGTTGCAGTAAGATCTGGAGAAAATTTCTTGGACTGTTCTGGAAAAATCAGGATGTTTCAAGGAACGTGTCAGTTCAAACTCCATTTTCCACCCTATATCATATTAAAAAAGTTCCACACAGTGCAGTTCACTAAATAACTAATGAGCTCACTCTGGTTTTCTTAAGCTGAGCACACTGGATTTGCTTCTGCAGGAAACAACCGGTCTTCAAAAATCCCATGGAGGAATAGTATACATGGTCTAGCCCAATATCCACCCCTAACAGTGGTGACTCCTAGAGAAGAGGGTGAAGTAGGCAGCTCTGAGGCAACCTGTCTGCCCTCCCAGACCACAGGAAATGCCCCAGTACCTGTATCGAGCTAAGAACACCTGGAGCTTTGCAGGACCTTGGCTGCTTGGCTCTGGCATTAGAGAGATGCTGTCAACATCCAGTTCTTCCATTTCACTTGCAGTGTCCACCTGAAAAACAGAGATGAAGGAGTGGTAAAGAAATACTCTAAGGGTCTGGACATCAGTGAACAAGTCCTCTAAGCACATGTATGGTGCCAGTCTGGTCACTGAGCTGAAGACCATCTGGAAGAGTGAAGAGGTAGTAATAAGAGGCAACAGCTCCAAGCTGCAGCTTCAGGGGTTCCAATCAGATATTAAAAAAAACTCCTTGCCTGGGTGGGTGATGCAGCCTTGGGACAGGTTCCCACTGAGGTGGGAGATCACTCTTGATGAGCTTAGAGCCTCACCTAGGCAAAGCCATGACCAAAAGGGCAGAAGCTACCTCCCATCCCATCACACCCAGCCCCACTCACAGCACTACTTGACCTTAAATTGTCACATCAAATAATGTACAGCAGAGTATGGAAGACTGCTGAAGTGAACCCTACAACACTACAAAAAAGCTCCTGGGAAAAAGACCAACAACCATCTGTGAAATCTTGGTGACACAAACAAGCAAAGCCCATTAATTTCATCCCTCTGCTAGCACAAACTCAGCACCTTTCCGTGGCTTCTCTCATCAAGTAAAATTTTAATACCTCAAAGCACCAGCAAAGAAGTTTGACCCCTCATCTACACTTCCAAGTCCAAAAATAGTCTGGACACAGTGCTTCAGCATGCTGAAAGTAACACTTTGTGGCCTTTGTGTGTTTTAATGGTAGCTGAGATGTCAAAAAGAAGCTTAGAAAGAGCTTTCCCACACTTCCCACCAATCAACATCCCTAACTCTCTCCTTCTCCAAGCTCCCAGCACTCCTTCTACAGACACAGGCATCCAAGGCCTTTTCAAGTTATTCCTACAGCTTTTCTCTTCTTTCCCCCCCCATTTTCTTCAGGCATGCAGGAGGGAATGGAATGCATTTATTTCTTCGTGGCCAGAAGGCACAGGCCACTGAGGGGACTCCCATACTGACCTCTGGAGTGGGGCAGGATTTGGGACTGTTCTGCATGGATTCTGATTTTGAAGAGTTTGACTGAGATTCCAGTTTCTTGGCTGGTTTCTGAGAATGGGCAGCAGCGACTGGGGAGCCAACAGTGGCATCAGGCCCCCGCTGTGATGACTCCAGCTGATCAGCCTCCTCATTGTGAACCTTCTTTGTGCTCTGGTGAGCAGGCAATCCAGCAACAGTCGATTCTGCAAGAAAAAAATCTATTACTTTTAGCCACAGGCAGAATACAAGACCAGCAGTGAGAACCACAGTGAGCAACCACCCTCTAGAGCAGCCCGAGTCTCTAAAAATGTGACTCATTTAACAGTGCCAAGGACTGGGGACCCTGGGCTCTCTTTGGTCAGGGAAATACCAAGTTCTCTTGATGGCTACAGGATGAACCAACGGTATTTACAACAGATAAAGAGACAGAGATTCCAAAAGTTAACCAAAGAGGTGCATTATTTCCTTTACACCCTTCCATTTACAGGAGTAACAACTCATTTGTCAGAACCCTCGCAGGCGTCTCCAGCAATTACCCTTCTCCCAGTGGGGCTGTGGGGCAGAGCTGCACAGAGCAAGAGGAAGCTCAGAAGTCACCAGTGTGGAGGTGAGGAGGTCAATTTTTCCTGTCTGAAGCCGGAATTGTTTGAGCTCCTGGGACAGAAGGCTGAACTGCTCTGTTTGGCTGCGACACTGGTCTTCTAGATCCTTCACCCGGGCCTGACAGGAGAGACACAAGATGAAGCACAAACCCACATCAAAGCCACCAGCCAGGCTCCAAACAGCATTTGTCTTTGTTGCATCTTTTCTGTGGGTCTCACACTCCAAGAACCTAAAGGTGTGCCCTGCCCAGGAATGGTCACTAGGAATTGGCAGCTCTGCACCTATAGGATCTTTGAAAACCTGAGACTCATCACCTATGAAGAGACTGACTAAGAGCTTAATTAGGAATTTTCCTTGAAATGCTGGGTTTGAACTTCAACATCCTACCCAAGCTCTGCACAAGACCAGATGAGATAAGTCAAAGACAAAGAAGCCTTGAAAAAAAAGATTGAAAATGTTTTGCATATTTATTGGAGCATCAAAATCACATCTCCACAAGGAATCACTCTCCCAATGCTATCTTGTCCATCACTCCAGAGGCTCCAGCAAGCTCCCAGACTCTACCCTGGCCTCCCCACCATTCTGAACCAGACTCCCAGCTGTGCCTCCAGATCTTGGCTCCTCCAGGCACTAGAAGGGGAGAGACCATCAGCACCCTGGCTTGTGCTGCAGAACATTTATTTGATGTGGGCAGTCCACACGCTTCACCACCAGGTCCTACATGGGTGACTTGCTCCAGGAAAGCTACATCTCAGCAAGATGAGATGCAGGGGAACCTTGGGGAAATGCTAGAGAAAGGCAAGGACACATTCCTACTAGAAAACCATCTGTATGTTCTAGTATTCTCTTTCTACCCCCTCTAGAGCTTCCCATTCCAAAATACTGCTGAGTCCTGGCTGTCCTTCCACATCCTCACACACCCTCTAGTTGTAGGCACATCAATTCCCAGGAGAGTGCAACTGCTCCTCTCCCTCTTCTCACCCTTCCACCATGCAACAGCCCAGGCAGGTATCCTGTGTAGACCCCACTCAGGCACCTCAGGTAACACATAAGCAAGAAGCATTAGTGCTGAGTGTGAACAGATCATCTAATCAGCAGCTCTTCAGCTGAATTAATGCAGACAATATTTCATCTGGCACCCAGCTGAGGTCCAGGCTCTGCCTTGCAGGAGATGACATTTATCCCCTGTTTTCTCTTTGGGCTGAGACCATGCCAGGCTTTGTAGTCACTCATCTCATGGTTTGGCTTAGGTAAGATGCATCAAAACAGATGATTGCATTGTGCTACTCAAAATTTTCCATTCTACAGAATGTTCTTGAAGTGTCTTTTTCTCCTTCCAACTTAAAAAAATGAATCATGCCTTGAAATGTTATGTGAGATGGAAAGTCTGGGGTTTAGGCAGCTCTAAAAATAACTCTTCAGACCTGGAAAAAGCTTTCTTTCTGGTCTCACCACAAAAATCTCTCTAGCCCACTTCCTACCAACTTACAAGGGTGCATGCTTTTTTATTTTATTGTGACATATCTGTTTTAAAGATGTCAGTTGATCACTTGTTTCCTTCACAGCTAGCTGGGTGCTCTCAGTCTTTAAAGTGAAGCCTGGTGGAGTCTCTGAAGTTTGGCAAGAAGCAACTGCCTCTGAATGGAAAGAGATTATCAGATGCTAGGAGTAACTGCCAGCAGTGTCCACATTCTCCACTTGCTCAGAGTCAAGTCCTTGTTCACTAAATCATGCTGGACAGGACTCCTCTGCCAGTGTCTGAATTTACTTACAGTTAAAACTTTTCACATAAATGCTTCTCCCCTATGCATTACATCTTAATAGAGAAAAGAAACCACCAACAGTAAGAACAGTTGCACTGCATCAAAGTCGGGCTTCCTCTAGACCAACATCTGTCCCCAGTCCCATCTTTGGACAAGCCTACAACAAGACACAGGTACAGAATGACTGCAGGACCACAGAGGGTTGTCCCATCTTGTCTAGAGACCCAAGCCAGAAGATGCATCTGGATATTGTGTTTAATAGTGTCATAACAGTACCTTGGCTCTGTGAATTCATTAATCACAGTTTAAATCCATTTATACTGGTGGCCAAGCCAACAGTCTGGATAATCCACAGTTTAATTCTGAGATACCTAATTAGTCAAGAGTCTTTTTGATCTTGTGTTATTCAAAACAATGTAGAAACACCCCTGAAGTATTCCCACCACATCATACACAACACGTACTTCCAGAGGTCCACACACAGCTGGGCAAGCAGCAAGTTTCCAGGGCAGTGCTGGGAGGCAGGGGGAGAAGGAAGAGGAGCCTAAGGACACAGCCAGGAGCTGCAGGGAACCAGTGGGAACCAAGCCTCAGGCACAGAAGAGAGAGGAGACTTTTGTGTCTATGTGCAGCCCAAAAGAGGGAGAAAGAGAAGCTTCACTCCAGCTGAGAGTTGCTCAGAAGAGGCTGCAAGAGCAGGGAGCAGAGCTTGGCAGGGGCAGTTCAACCACCAGTTCAGGAACTTACTCTGATTTTCCACACCAAGCTAGACCCAACCACCACCAGCTCAGCCCTGTCTCCTCCTTAGCTGCTCTATTACTCTTCTACAGATGACATTCCCCACCCAGCTGTTCCTTGTTACCTTTCTCCATGATTTTTTTGAGATTAGAGGATCATGGTTTTGCT